TCTCTCTCTCTCTCTCTCTCTCTCTCTCTCTCTCTCTCTATATATATATATATATATATATATATATATATATATATATATATATATATATAAAGAGAGAGGAGGGATAGATTTTTCATAAATTATGTACCTGAATTCAAAGAATCGATCCTTAATCATAAATCGTTTAGGGGATCACATATTGAATTTGAAATTCAATCATTTATCAATAATTTAAATCCTTATTTGCTTCTGTTAAGATCATTTTCTAAGATGATCTAATAATGTGCTGAGTACAATTCCTACTTGAAAATGCCAGCATATGATACTTAAAATATGACAACTCGCGAATATCTAGAATTTGCATCTTGTGATTTTTGAGGAGATAGACAAACTTAGCGGCTACCAACAAAGGTAAGATGGATCAAACACGCGAAGCATTACCAGTTTCCGAGCCTTGGAGTATGCAGTTCCATTTCATTTCATCCAATGAACAAAAACTTGGCCGAGACAAATTGATCTACACATTTATATACATATATTAGGTCAAGGAAAAAGTATAAAACTGCAACAGAAAATGTTATTTCCAAGAGGGCCTAGAAGGAAACTTTGGTTGGTTCCACATACTTGCAGACCGTTCATCGACTCATACTGGAAACAAAGGGAAATGCTTCGACGTATTATAAGGCACAAATAATGAAAGAATTAACTTTAACAACAAAAAACAATATTTCTCCCTGAATAAAAGTAGTCAGACACACGTACAGTCACTTGGTATCAAACTGAAATTTCGTCTTCCCATCTGAAATAATCTCCTGACGTGCTTTGAGGTGTTGAGCCTTCTCATCTTCTGGACTCATTTTCTGATACTGATAGTCCCATTCTGTTTGGAACATATACAAGAACAGTCAGGATCGTGGCCTCTCTGGACAAGACGTTTGTCACGGTTGATCATCAGTTTTATTAGAGGAACTTTTGAAGAAACTTGACGCCATATCTCATTTACAGTTCCATTTGGATCTTCATATTCAAAGTACCATTTCACCTGAAAAAAAAAATTGTCTGGTGATTAAATCTGAAACAAATATACTACCTCAAAAGTAAATATCAGTTGACTTCTACAATTATTCAATCCTATTTCAACCTTTATTGTTTTATGTTAATCTAATTGTTTTATAATATGACTAATGCCATGATAGACCTGGCCGACTCTGATGCATAAGGGATGTTTAACAGCTCACAAGTATCACCATTAAATGCATAATAGTGTTCGTTCTGAACAAGATGACAAAAGCAATCTCAACTTTAGAAAGAATATGAGGTGTGATCATCAATTACAACTTCAAAATCATGGGACATGATAGTGAGGATTTTATGGAAAACTGATGCCTAAGATCTATTTCATAAGTAAATATTTTATTAAAGACTTTATGGACTGTTTTATAAGAAGCAAGCTCTCTATATTTAAAGTCATTGACCTCCCCAAAACTCACATTGGTGGAAGTGCAGTGTGTTGAATTTTCATTACTTGCAAATAAGTACACCCCTTTTTTATTAGAAACAGTTGAATTTTCACCTAGAAACACTATGCCTTTCTTTTTTTATAAACATCAGGATAATCGTTATTGAAAATCCTACTTGATATGTGTTGAATTTTTTTCAATATTTGAAGTGCCAAAGGAAATAAAGTAAAATGTTTAATTAAATCTCCTCTAATCTAGCAACAGATTAGCTCTACTAAGGATTCTAATAAGAGTGTAAAAAGAAGGGTAACAAGTTTTCATTAAAGGGGAATTCAATGGGAGAATTATGTATCCTAATGTTTCAATTTATGTGAAAGAAAGAGGCTGCAGCCTACACATCACAAAATAGCAGATCCTTACCTTACTGAACAAATAAAACAATAGGATATCGGACTGGACAGGGATCAATATGTATATCATTAAACGATCTGTATACTGAACCAATCTCACTAGACAAATTCAGTGTAATTAAGTATGGAAAAGCCAACCAGAAAGTGCTTAAAAACAAATATAAAAAGCTAGCTCACGAATGATATGGTAAAAATTGTAAATGGGCTACCTCAAGAATAATATGGTAAAAAAAGACAGTACTTTGTAAGCTGTGACAAAGAGCATTGATTATGAGTTCTAGAAAGACATTTTTGTGCATTTCCTGATCACATACAAAGATAATGTTCATTATTTTCAAAACACCTATCATATTCAAAAACCAAAAAGTAATATTATATTAAAACAAAATTAAGTTGTTTATGATCCTTTCTCCAAATATTTTTCAGCACTTGTCTTAGCTTGGTCATCATTGATATTTCTAGCAATGAAACCATTTTAGTTTTGAGAAGACTGGTGCCACACATTAATTCTGTCTTTTTATCCTCCCATAGTTTCATGTTTGTTTTTAGTATCCAAATAGTAAGTGCAATGCTGCATGTACCCTTTGCCTGTGTATATGGTATATACATAGACGAGTAAATTTCCTCATCTTAAACCTTTTATCACAATTCCACAACTCAATAGATCAGCATCTAATCCTATCCTAATAGCTTTAATCTTTATGGGATGTCTAACATGTAATTCTATTCCCATGTTATTGTTTCTCCTTCCTATTTTGTTCCTTTTTGTACTATTTTGTTCCTTGTAGTTGTATTATGTAATTATCCTTTGATAATTATATCCATGAATTAAATTTCCTTATCTGAATATATTTCCGCATTCCAAGTCAAAAATCTGAGCCAATACTCAGACCAACTTCTTCATCCTCACCATTTGAAATGGTTCATGAATATTTGCGCTATTGCCACTGCATCTAGGTGCAGATAAGATGGTTTTCTTCCCATGAAATCCTTTTCAGCACTAACCTTTTTGTTATGGAAGCATTCACATGATAAGATATTTTTCTTCAATTTGTGTTTGAAAAAGATTTATATATGAAGTATGAAAGGATCAGAAATGGCATGGGGGAAGATACTATTTTAATGAAGTACTGTTATTCTTTAATATTAGAGGGGCTGGATCAAGCTACATCAAAAGATACTTATGTTATTTTTTTGCATTTTAAAGCACTGGTCCAAATTTACATCTAGTCACCCAGAAAGCCCAACCTCAACCATATAAAAAAAGAAAAAAAAACCTTTTCAACCTTATAGATAAATTTAACAAGGTCTATTTCTGAAATAGAACTTACTAATCTTGTAACACCATCGTTCGACTAGCCATCAAAAGACCATCTCATCTCAACTACCTAGAAAGAGTAGAGACCATAGAGGACATCACATGTGTAGTTCAATCAAATTATGTCCCTCTAGTTCAAAACAAAGTTTTATAAGACTATTACTGTAGTAGTCATCCTTTCTACGTCACTCTGGTTGACAATACTGATGTACAACATCATGTTGGTTAGATAGGTTAGATAGTCTTGCAAGAAATTTCCTACGAGATATGATTTTGTATGTGATAATTAAGGTGTAGCAAAAAATTTAAAGATACATAGGGCAGTCATGTATGATGAGAACTTTACACTGCACAAAAAAAGCATCTGAATTAGTCCACATTAGAGACTTCGGAGGAGAGGAAGACCAAAGAAGTTTTAATGTATAATGGTGATTTAGAATATAACAAACCTTAACCATTCAGACACACAGACTTTACAAAAATATGGCAAAATAGATTCACATAGCCAATCATAAGCAGATACTATTGTGGTTTTTGTCATCTTCAGCAGCAAATAATCATTTCAAGCTAGACCAATAATGGCATATACCCAAAAATACAAGACTGCATAATCTAATAAGAAGTGAACAGAAAAACAGTCAATAGAATACAGTTTAGCAACTAATGTGACATCCACCACAACTAGCAGAGAGAGAGATTATTAAATTAAAAATAGATATTCATAGATTTTAGATTCTACATACACTTCTATAGACCACTTAACCATATAACAGTTTAGCGACCTTGTTTAGAATGTAACTGTATCAACTATCATCACAATTTTGTGTTAAAAGGAAAAGTCCTTATAGAAGCTTTGCTGGATGACCAGTTTAGAGCATTTAGATGATGATCAAGAAACTACAACAGATAAAAGTAAGTTTTCTGGATTCTATGATTTCCTACAAAATAAAATGTGGTAAAAATAGTTCTCTGTGGAATATTTGCCCTGCAACTAAATGAACCTGTAGAAAATTTGAGTGGAAAGTATCTCCGGCTACAAGAGAAAAGCAACTAATTGATGAACCGTCAATCAATTTACTTTTGACTTTCAAATACATGCATCTAATTCAAAAGCATTATAAATCTATAAAGAATTTGAGTCAGTATTTGATTGAAAACAAAGTAGGGAAATAGAGAGAAAGAGAGGAGAAAAGAAAGAAAAAGAAGTGTGAGATAAGAGAGGAGAATAAGAGACTAAAAGAGAAAAAATGTATTTTTTTTCATTCAAATCTGAAGTGATTTATCCATTGACAAGAGTAATGATTCCTAGGGGTTTAGGAGTTAAGAAGCCTTGATATAATCAGTGAAAGTCATGATTCTCAAGAGTAATCTCGAAAGTTGTATGCTTTTTAGAAATCCAAAATATGACTTCTAGGATACTTAAATAGGAAATGATTGCACTTAATACAAAATGAGTCCCTAGGTTAGATCCTAAAAAAACAAAAAGACTTTTCAATTTTCAACAAAGCTCTTAAAATTTCTAGGCCAACTAATTGATGACTTTTTATTGATTTCTTTATCTAGAATAAACATTTCTGAAATCCTTTATAAAGCTAGATGGTTCTCCATCAAATGCTTTCTTACCTTACTCATCCATGGCCATATGAGAAAGCATTCTTGACAAAGCAACTTTTGCTCCAAGGCTGGGAGAAGAACATTCAACCTCAAGTGAAAACAAGTTGTCCTGGCGAACCAAATGGTCAAGTGATCAAGTTCATAATCATAAGGCCCTCCCATTAAGCTGGTCATCTCATGTAGGAATTCTAAGCCAAATAAAAAAAAGGATGATCCTAAGTACGATTTGAGAGGGAACAGATGTCCCAAGGTTCAATGCTGTCATGATCATGATCGAAAAACCTAAAAAGTACATGTTTCTACCTATCTTTAGGTGGATTAGCACCAAACGTACCCCCATCTTATGTTGATCATGAAAAGTAAATAATAATTCAAGACCTCACATTTATGCACACAAGAAAAGAACAACAGGATATGGAGTTCTTGCATGAAATCTTAAGCTTAAATGAAGTCAAACTGCCTTAATTGTGAAATCGAAGAGGCAAGAATACCATATCAACTGAAACACAAGCAAAAGTTCTATATCAACTTACCTATGATTATCTTTATAACAAAATATAAAGATATATACTAAAATATATAGTGTCTATCTAGGTAAAATATATACTAAAATGACAAATTTGAATCATTGTGAATTCCAGTGTTTTCGATAAACCAACAGCAGTAAATGGAGTTCTACCTATGATTATCTTTATAACAAAATATAATTGCATAAAATGATGAACTTTGGAACCAGAACAATAATCCCTACCATTTTAAGTTCTTGCTGGTATTGCAAAATCCTCTCATTGCTGACTTTCCTGATCTTTGAAACTAGGTATCCTGGCTTCACTGCACTAATAGTATCTACAAATATCGCAATCTTCTTGTAGTTTATAACATCTTCAAAAGGCAACTCGATGTAGTCACTTACTATCACCGGGATGCATAAACTAACAATTGCATCAAATAACCTGCAAGCTGAAGGGGTATCTCCTGCAGGATGTAAGCAGAACTTAGATGAGTGCATCCCTTGTGTTGCCATGCGTCTACTCTCCCTGGACTGTGTTCCATGTTTTATGACAACATCCTTCTCATCTTCAAGTATTTGGAAAAGAGTATCACGTACTTTTCCACCCTATTAAGGAGAACGGATAGACTAAGGCATCTTCATTATAGCAAACGAAAGAATAAATTCTTACATGCAGTGGAAACAACATCCTTACCTAATGCTTACAGATGGCGCTGCCCTTAATAGGCCTAGATTAAAAGAAAGAATACATGATTGTATATGAACAAGGAGGCCATTAATACAAATGAATAAACAAAAATAATAACTTTTTAATGGTGAAAAATTGGCTTTCGTTCGTCTTGTTTCAATTGTGTTGCTTCATTTGCATAATGCATATGTGTCCAGGCTCAAAGTAATATGAATTGTTGTATTGTGATAATATCTCGAAAAGATAGGCCCAAAACAAATTTTACATGCCACAACATCAGTAATTATTTCTGTGCAATTTAACATTATGTTTATATCATCACAAAGCAGATAGTTGAAGACAAACATGCAGATTGAGGATATTGCCAGAAACGAAAATATTGAAAACAGTCATGCTTCTTATACTGTAATGTCTAAAGCAGCGCCTAAAAATCCATAGATAAGATTATAAGTCATCAATTTTGTGCCCACCTCATCTCATACAAAGAAGGATATGGGAGAAGGGCGTATCACTTTGAATCATCTACTTTTACCGACAAAAACACAATGAATTCATTGAACAAATTTGTTCATGGTCACCAATAAAAATCTACACATGAATACAAAAGGTGATCACAACAATCATTAAGAAAAAATAGGGTGTTCGGTGGACAAGGCTCCAACCACTATACTCTATAGTGGTCCGGAGAGGGACAAAGTACCAATCTAATTTTTGAAGTAGAACAAGTCATAATGACCATTAACATGGAGCTTTAATTGTGATTCAGAAATGAGTGCACTTGACAAACTAGTTAGAGAAATCACTTGGTTAAGCATTTGAAAGGAATATATATGTTGTAGAAAACATGTATCTGTAAACAGTCATTTCATATATCAGGAAACAATGATATAAACACTAGTGCCTTTCAGAATTAAACTTTTTTTTTTTTAGATTTTTGTATTTAAAGGCAAATTCAAGAACCAAAATATGGAATGTTTTTGTTGACATTTTTTTTGTTTATACCATCATTCATGTGACATCTTGAAGAAAAACCTTCCAAATTTTTTGAAAAACAAAATCTAGAAAACCCACAACACTTGGGACGCTTGAGAATCTGGATCATCTATTTTAACCAATAAAATCCCTCTTTCCAACATTAGAAGTGTGGTATGAATTATGAGTACCATCTATGCAAACAAAACCTGTCACTTATTAGCTAGTCTACTTAAATCCAGATATGAGTTCCTTTCAAATAAGAATGATCGTTGGGCACGGTGATCAAAATTCCACTAAGGAAAGAAAGAAAGAAGAAGCAAGTAAAGAAATAGTTATACCTCCTTCCGGTACCGGTTGCCCATGAAAAAAAGAAGCGAATGCCGGCCTTCTACCCCAACGTCCCTCTTGTAGGAGTTGATACGGTGAGAATACGGCAATATAACATCTTTAATAAGCGATGCCTGATCGGCCCTGAGCCTCCCGAAGTCCGACACCAGGAGCACCGCATTCCTCACCCGATCTATCACCCTGTAGAGCGCATTCGGATCCTGGCACACGATCACATGATCCCTCCCCCTGTTACGCCTCCAGTATTCCTGCCCTTCGAGCCACTCCACCAGCTCCTCCTGCGTCCCCTCGTCGCTGTACGCCGTAGAGCCGCCGCCGCCCGGTATGTCACTGCCGCCGGGACGGATCGGGTTGACGACAAGGCTGAGTGAGGAGAAGAAGGGCACGTAGAAGAGGTCTGCTTCGTCGGGGTCGAGGGTGAGCCGGAGGGGTGAGTTAGGGGACCGGGCAGTGGGGGAACGGGCGAGATCGGATAGGAGCCACCACTCGGCGGAGTGCTGGTGACCGGGATATCGGATGTCGGCGTCGTTGGCGGGGACCGGGGAGCCGCGGGCGCGGAGGTAGCTACGGACGACGCCGTAGGTGAACTTGGAGGGGAGGTCGTAGAGGTAAATCTTGGGAGCCGAAGGAGGAGAAGGAGAAAGGCCGATGGCAGCGGAGGGGGAGGGGGAGGGGGAGGGAGTCAGAAGAGTGTGGAAGAGGGCGTAGAGGAAGAGGAGAGAGAGAAAGGCGGTGGCGAGGGTGGGCTTGAGGAGGGACCGGCGAGCCATCTTTAGGGTTAGGGCTATGGTAGGGGAAGGAGGTGGGGATGAGGAGGAAGGCTTGGGTTTTCTTGGCTTGGTTCGGTCGGACATCGGTGGCTCACTCCTCTGCGGCACCGGGGGATGCAGCCGAAGAGACGCGGACCGCCGCCGGGGAAAAGGCCGCTTTTGCCCCCAGAAGAAAGGAATCGACAGTTGGGTTTCGAACCCTCTCGGAACCTGGATTTTACACTTAGCCCTCGGTTTCGTCGGCCTCCTCCCTGCAGGATACCGTCCACCCGGACTCGAGGATTAAAAATCCGGTTCTTGATAGGTCATTTCAGGATGCTAATTTTACATCTCGGACCCGTTCGGATTGGATCGGATTTGATCAACAACTAGGAGTGAAAAATGACACAGTAGTAGTAGTAGGTATCGAGGGAGGAGGATTTTTTTGTGTGTTACTCGAATACTAACGTATTCGTCATATCACTGACACACACATCAGCGCTCCTATGTCGTCGATATATCATATCCATAAACCACATCGATAAGAATATAGTTTCTATATAATAAAGATCATAATGTGCTACGGCACCTCGTTGTTCAAAAGAGTATAATGACAAACCTCGTCAATCTGGCAAGTGTTTAGTCATTTCCTTGTTACTGCATACCTACTTTGCTTCCACGATTGCTCCCGATCAAGCAAAATTACATCACCTGTATGCATAACAGGGAGGATCCTCTCTGACAACAAATCATAAGTCTCCTAGCATCACATAAAATATTATCTCCATACGAGGAAGCAAAGGAGAGATGATCACATGACGATAAACCAAGCATATGGAAAAGGAAAAACTCTCCACCTTAATCTTTCTCTTTGTGAAGCTCATGAATCTCCATTATTAACATCTGCGAAGCATTTTCTAACTTGAGCTTTAGAGGAAAATTAGATGACTCTTTTTTTTTTTTAGGAGCTTTCCCTCCCTCGATTAATTCATGAAGTTGCACCTGAGTTGTAGTTGGTCGTACGTCCCTTAAACCTACAACATACTTTACTATTGGGGAGATCAATGTGGAACGAATTAATACAGGTTCAAGAATTTTGAGAGTATTTGCCTGGTATCTTCCTCGTCCCATTTCTCCAGTATGATAGTTCCAATCCACGGCCTGAATTAAGTTCATTTGCATGAAAACAACACAAATATATAACTACAGATAGAATTAATCTAGCATAGATCAAGGTGGATAAATAAGCAGACGATGAAGGAGGCCGAGGAGTAGGCTAGATAACAACAAAGAACTGACGACTGATTGATCGATCGATCGATGATCATTTCCTGGCTTCTTTCTCGGCTTTTCTTCGAGCCCTCCGCTCCCTGGTGCTGGCGGACGATCTGAACCCGCCCACGCTTTCTTTCTCCTCGGAGTCCTCCACCTCTCTGAAAGATTTCTGCCGACAATCAACATAGAGACATTTACTGCCAGGAAAAAACCGAAAGGTAGGAAGGAAGCAGGCTGAATGAGATGGCTGAGGTTAGCTTCAGCGCGCACCTCCCGCAGCTCCATGAAGCTCACGGCGTAGAAGGTTACAGCAGCAACTGCCGCTATTCCCAGAACAGGAAGAGCGATCTGCGAGGCACCCTCCATTTGTATTCTTCTTCTTTCTTCGTTTATTCTCAATCTCGGCTCTGCTCTGCTCTTCGGTCGCTGATGACCATCCAGTGGTGTGGGAGTGGTGCTCCGTTTCTTATCTCTTCATCCAGTGGGCCCGCCTGCCTTTAAACAAACTGACAAGAAATCTAAAGACCAATTTTGTTTCTTTTACTATGTATCCCAAAATAAGGATCCAGCAGCAATGCATCACAACATTTAGCAAAGGAATTGAAGGAGAGAAATCGTACCAATACTTAGAATACGGTTGTTTGAGATTTAAATATGAAGAGGGCAATGATTGTCAATCTACGAAATGCTTTGATTAATCTAAAATTCTTTGAACTAAATTTGAGAACATATTTGAAATGTGAATATATATTTCAAATAAAAAATTAATATTTAGTAATATTTTTTCAAATGACATCTAGCTTGGATGATGTAATTCAACATTTGAGGGATGTTGATATTATTATTTTTTAATTCTTAAAGTACCTATAACATTATCTAAAGTTATAAGATCGCAAAAATAATTCATGAGAAACCAACATGATTTTATTTTCTATAAGGTTAAATTTTATTTATTTATTTTTAGAGATTATTTTATATTTTTATTTATATTATATATTTCGGCCGTAAAATTTTTTTTATAAGATTTCATACAATCATTTATTTTATTAAAAATATAAATTTATCATAAAATATTCAATGAACCTTTGAAATATAATTTTATCAAACAATACTTACATCAATACATATTAAAAATATAATTTTCATCTATTATTTACCTAACACGTAATGCATTTCATGACCGTACATTTACTTAAACCTTTTTTCTCCATTCACATATTAAGAATATAAATACACTGTCAAAAATTATTGAAATTGGACTCCATGTATGTGATTGTAAATATTGATTAGACTTATAGATTGAGAATTCAAAATCTCATATGATATATTCTAAAAATACTAATTAACTAGTTAGTAAAAACTTTCTCAATCGTCATATGTTCCTAAAGTCATAATTGACCATCACCATTTATTCTTTTGTAAAAAAAATATTATATTCATAAGAAAACTTAAATTTTATCAATGCTCTCACACTTTCCAACCTAAAAATTAACTCATTGTTAATTGTCTATAGTTGTTTTAACCAATTTTATTTTAAAAACCATTTCATGTAATTTAATACATGATTTAATTTTGTGACCACTAAGACTCTTAATAAGCCCAATCAGTTAAGGTCTGTATAGTACTCTAAGAGTATGGGATGATGTGAAACTAACTTTCCATTTTTATCAGTTTCTATATAATTTTGTATTCTATATTTTCTTTAATTTTTTATACAAATATTCATATGTGATTTTTTTCTAAACTTTTGTTTAATTTTTTAATTAATAATTTTTAATCTGTTGAATCTCAAATTTTGATGATGAAATCAATTGTAAATTGTTTGATCTACTCTATATGTTGAGAAAAGTGTGTAGAATTAACTACGATATCAATAAGGTATGATGCAGGTGTTGTACTGAAGTCAAGATCGAGACTTCATCGGGAGTTCAAAGAGTTCGACAGAAGTTCAGACATTCGTCGGAAGTTCTATCAGAACTGACCAAGAAGTCCAAGAGTTTGCCAAAGAAGCTCGTCGGAACTCGCCAAAAAGATCGTTGTAAAGTCCAGGAGCTTACCGAGAGTCCATCGAAACATTATTGAGAGATCATCGGAAGTTCACCGGAAGCTCGCTGGAAGAACTATTGACATATCGGAATAAGAATGCTTTGTTAAATATCTTAGTTATTGTAGTTAGACCATAAGTTGAGTTAGGATTAGGAGGTAATCCCACTAACTCAGTTATGGGTCAACTAGGCCTTTAACAAGACTGAATTGGGCTGATTGAAAAAAAAGCTTATTCAGCACTTGAAGTCACGACCGGCGATGGCATTGCTTGGTGACCCAGTCTCCCAAGTAATCTGGGCGATGGTACCGCCCAAACTGAGTGGTGGTACCGTCGGTAGTTAATGCTACCAGCGGTGGTACCACCCCTATCAAACGGTGGTACCACTAGAGCTCGGTCTCCGAGCTCTGTCAGGAGATGGTACCGCCCAGATTGGGTGGTGGTACCGTCTAGTGTTAGAGTGACAGGCGATGGTATCGCTAATACCCGAAAATCCATGATGAGACACTTTTGAGCTCCAATTTTGAGGTCATTGGGGCCTATAAATACCCCACCATTTTCTGCATGAAAGGACACGAAAGTGTTAACATAATCTTGAATTCTTGGGGTGTTAAAGTGTTATAAAAGTGAGAAGAGTCCTTCTCCTCCCTCTCTTAGCTTTGTAATCATCCAAGAAAAAGGAGTGAAGCTTGTAAGAGTTATCTCCTAAACCCATGAAAAGGAGAAAGCTTTGTAAAGAGGTGATTGGTCTTTGCTTGTTGAAGGAAGACCATTAGTGGACGTCGGTGACCTCGACGGAGGAGGAATCAGAAGTGGATGTAGGTCACAATGAACGAACCACTACAAAATATGGTGTGTTCTTTCCTTACTACAAATTCTCTTTACTGCATTTAACTTTACTATATTGCAAACTACCCAACCTCTTCTTCTCTACTTATTCAAAGTGAAATAAATGATTTGAGTTGAAATCGATTTTTATCATACAAAGTTTCTCGAATCGACGTAATTTTTTCGCTGCACTAATTAACCCCTCCCTCTTAGTGCCGCTCTTGATCCTAACAATTGGTATCAAAGCAAAGTCACTCTCGTTTGTTTTGAAACCCAAGAGAGATGTCATTTGCCGACAACCAAGATGGTCATTCAATTATATGTCCACCCATGTTCAATGGGATGGATTACACATATTGGAAGACTAAAATGAGGATTTTTCTAATTTCAATAGATTTTGAGTTATAGAATGTTGTAGTAAATAGCTTTCAAAAGTCTTTTTTTCTAATGAGCAATTGGAATGAGTTGGAAAAGAAGACTTTCACTTTAAATGCCAATGCTATGAATGCCTTGTTTTGCGCTTTAGATAAAAATGAGTTCTGATATGGCAAAAAATGGTAAACCCCACTCCCGGCAACGCCCCCCGCACATGGACGGGCGCGGCGCCCCAGGGAGAGCAACGAGGGCAACGGTCTGCATCCGGATGTCAGCCTCATTAAGCCCACTGCCCCTCAGTTGACCCGGCATAGGAGGACGAGACAGAGGTAGGTAGCGGTTGGAGCTCGCCCATACCCTGCGATTCCCCAATCCCCTACGCAACATCCTCGACGATGTCGGACGCCATCAGGGGTACGGCCCCGACCGACGGGGCGACGGGCCCGGTAATACCGAGTCCCCCTATAAATGTCCCCTAGCCAGAGGGAGGAGGACAGGCTGGACTCCCCGAACAACCGCCACCGCATCTCTCTAACTTGATCGTCGGAGGGGTCGGGTCGAGCCGACCCGACCTTTGTGCAGGTATCAAGCCGAGGTCCCCCGTCCGGGATGCGCAGGCAAGGAGTCCCCGCCCGGAGGAAGTCGCCGCATCGCCCCGAGCCCGAGGCCGCACCCGACCACCCCGGTGGAGACGAGCATCGCCCCAGGGAGATCCCCGCCATTCGGACCCCCGAACGAGCCGAGA